ACTGCATGAGATTTCTAGATAAAGGTCAAATTTGCCCCTAGTAAGCAGAACATCTGCCAGAATAACCAGTTAATGCCCACTTCCACGTATGAGCAAGTTAGCCCAATTCTCCTTAGTCATGTCGAAAAAATTCAATTCATTTGCTTCCTCTTGATTTTCTTTGTTAAAAAAGGAGAAGTCCTAGATCCTGCAGTATACTAGTCTCTAACTCAAGTAAGAATTAGTCATTAGCGTCCTGATAGTTCCACATCTCTAAAAAACAACATCGTGCTGTATGTTTTGGGGGTAAAATTTAGTTCCCAACCTGTCCATGCTAAGCAGTTGCAGTGACCACACTGCTTGACTACTTCCCTTACTGGTTGAATTTCCAGTGATAAATTTCTGACTTTTTTTTTTTTTTTTTTTTTTAGGTCCCATTTAAGCAAGACAGAAAGGGTACTTTGTCCCACTGTTGCCTGATACTGGGTCAATACTAGCTGAGATGACTAAAAGCTGCTGAGACCTCAAATTGTTTTGGACATCATTAATACTTACTTTGGGAAAAGGTGTCTGAGCCTTCTCATTTTGTGCTGACCTCAAGCCATGCTGAGATGTTCTTGGCACCTCCATATTATAAATCATTTCTAGTGGCTGTCTACTGTCATGCTGGGTTATTTGGGGCAGGGAGTGAGTGGGTATTTTTTGGTTTTGTTTTGCTTTGTTTAAACCAGAGACCTTTGTTTTAACTTAAAACTGGACAAAAATGTAATAAACTGAGTCTTCAGTATTGTCAAATAAGCATTTTGTTTTGTAAATCTGGTAATAGTAATTAATATTTACGAGTAGGTTTTCACAGTTTTTTCAAATGGTAAGTGAAAAAGAAGATAAACCCAGGACATAGAAACTTTTTGAGCATATATATTGGATTAAGTGTATAATCTGCTTTACAAAATTTTGTGTATCATAGTGGATGATGTAGTAGATGAAAGTGATGATAATGAAGATGCTGAAACGGAATCAGAAATTGAAACTGAAAATGATGATGACAAGGACCAACAATTTAAGGTTGGTATGAGACATAATTGACAGGCAAAAATCAAGCATAACAGTTTTCTATTTTTGTAAGTTGCTTGAATCATGTATACAGCCATATATTTAAAGTGTTGACAAGAAATTGCCCTGAAAACCTCCTCAAAGTCAAAAATTAAGAAAGCTCCTGAAACTGAAGGAAGATGAGTGCTGCTTGAAAATATCAACCTTTGTTGTTCAGATTGCTTCAAGATTTTTATCAAAACCTGTTTGCTTCACACTTGATGTGTCTGGAGTACAGTGGAACAGAACTACGAACTCTTTTAGTAGTGTTCTGTTGGTAACGCAGGAGTGGCTTTAACTGTTTCCATCATTCTAGACTGGGATTGGTTCAGTCAGTGTTTCAGCAAGGTAACTTTAAAGTTGAACTGACTGTAGAGGTGGAGATCACACCTCTCACTGTTCTGTGACTGTGGGAAGGTCTTGTTCTGCTTTCCAGCTGCCTGTCAGAACATGAAAGGACGTTTGGTCAAAATTGCCTGATTCTATGTTTCTGTGTTACGTATGTTGAGTTAATTGAATTGTCTGTCCATGGACTGGAATGATAAATTTTATTTAAGGCTCTCATGAGTCGTGATGAAGGGAGAATCTTCCAAAGAAGCAATTATTTCCTTGTCGCTGCAATCAGATGGTATCTCCACATTCCAAGTTGCAATAGTGGGATTACACACAGTATTCATGTAAAGTGTAGTCTGATGTCTGTGCATAATATATTTGGATGAAAGCAAGAAAATGGAGATATTTGTAATATTTCTGTTGAAGCGGAGGCTTTGGCATACGAATAAAACTGAGCTGCTTAAACCCTTACGGTGAAAGGTGCAGTTCAGCTATTTTTAAGATAGTGACATTCAACTTTTAAAGCGTGGCCGTGTCAGAAGTATAAGGTGAATGTAGTTATTTTAGAAGTTCATTAATTCTGGATGCAAGATTAATTTGTTCTGGTGCTTTTTCAGAATGATGATATTGAGACTGATATTAATAAACTGAAACCTAGACAGGAATTGGGAAGACCCCTAGAAGAACTGAAAATGTATGAACAGTTTTTCCCAGAACTTTCAGAAAACTTTCAGGTAAAGTACATGATTGCCAGGGTGTTCCTCATCGTGATGGTTTGACTCTATGATACACTTTGTCGTTCTTTTTTGGTGCTTAGTTTCTCTAGCCAAAAAATGAGAGTCTGCAGGTCTAGAGCTACATAGAAGAGTGCTTTATAATGAATTGTGTGGTTAAATGTTATGGGTTACTTTAATTTGACTGAGAAGGAGACCATGGGCAGATGTAAAGGAAAACTATTTTCTCATGTCTGATTATGGCACACAGCAGAAAGCAAAAAATAGTAAGAAAGGACACGAAATTTCTGACAAAGATTCATTGTGTTAGACGTTTACTTAAATGTTGTGCACCTCTTTATAGTAGTTGGTTAAAATACCTGGGTAATCACATTGACTTGATAATTTGTTATTGGTGAACTACTTGTTTACTGCTTTGACACTATGTTCTTGTAAAAGCTGAAACTTCATTGCTATGTTTATCTAAACTTTAAACATGCTAAAATAAATAAATTACACTTGTGTTGGATGATTGCAAAATGTACATCAGGAGCAATGAAAGAGAAACATTTCCAATATAAATGAAACTTTAGGAACTGTTTACTTTTTTTTTAAAAAAATAAATAATTTAATTATTTTTTCTCTTATGTTTTTTAAGGAATGTGACTTAGTTTCCAAGGAACCAAAGCCTTTTGTATCTGATGCAAATCTGAGTGGCCCTATTGTTGTTCCTACAGCAGGAGAGGAGCACTCTGCTGAAGCAAACCAGTCAACGAAAGGAGTTGCTTTGAGGGAGAGCAATCCTTTATTGACAGAGGAATACAATAGAAGACCAGCCTTTCTGGAACTACCAAAGAAAGACAGTATCAAAGACAGCAGTTTACATCAGCAAAGTGATCAAAGAAACCTGCTTCCATCATGCCAGTGTCTAAGCCAAGAAATTGTGAAAGGCTTGGACAGAATCAGTCTGCAGAACAGTGCAAAAAATGATCAGTATTATGGTACAGGGTGTGTAATAAGGAAGGAAAGCAAAACCAGCCTTACCACAGTTGCTTGTAGTAAACCTTGCGAACATGTTTCACCCTGTGGAAGCAGCCTCTTTGAAGGATCATCTGTCCAGCTGGGAAAACTCTGCTGCACAGGGGTGGATTCAGAGGAGGAGGATTCCAGATCAAATTCATCAGGGGAACAAATCATACTTGAGGTTTCTGACATATCACCAGTTCATGACTGTGATCTTTATATTGAAATGGTAAAAAACACAAAGTCTATTCCTGAATATTCAGAAGTGGCCTATCCAGATTATTTTGGCCATATTCCACCCCCATTTAAGGAGCCTATTCTGGAAAGGCAGTATGGGGTGCAGAGGTGAGTTACCATAGTCCTTTATTGTTGTTGGGTTTGTTCTCCTGAGAAACAGTCTTTAGTATGAGATCAACATACACAATGTTTACTTTGGTATCTAAAACTGTTTTCACTGAAAAGCAGTTTGAAGGTAGGTGAGCAGGCATTAAGCAATGCAGAACAATAAACAAGAATGCAATCTGAGTCTGTAATTGCTAATTCTGTATTTCAGTTTCTAAATACTAAGGTTAATTTATAGTCTCCCTTTATGCCTTCCCACGGTACCCCATCACAATTTCATAGTTTGAAAAAAAAAAAAAAAACACAACCAAAAAACCACCAAACAACAACAAACCAAACCAAAAACACCCACAAAGCAAACAACCCACAAAAAAGGCCCAACAAACAAACAAAATAAAATCCTGAATGCTCCCTTCAGGTCTTAGCAAAGATAGGACAGTTAATAGTTTAAAGATAATTCAGCTCTTTTTTGCTGTGCTAATAAAGCTGTCTTTCAGGAAAACGTAGTGGGAAAAAAGAAAAAATGAATACACTTAAGTATTTGTTTTTAGTGTTGGCAGTATAGCAGAATTTAGAGGTAACAAATGCTGAGGATGCAGTTTGTATTAGGTCCTACAGAATGACACGCAATAAACACAGAACGAAAAACCAACAAAACCCAATGCATCAACACCCATTTATGTATTTCTTCATTGAGATATATTAGAAGATGATGAAGGGTGATGTGATTCTTAAGAATAATTTGCAGTGGTGGTGTGAAGAGCTGGTTCATATGCATAGTCAGTTACTGTAAAGAAAAATGAGCAGAACTGTGATAGTAGGTATGAGGCTGTGCCACTTGCTTGATTTTTAAATTGAATGCTTTCAGCTTTATACTTACAACTTTAACCAGTTTCATGAGATTCTTTGTATTGACATTTAGTTTTTGAAATGATTAAGATATTAAGTGCCTTTGTGTTGTACAATTAAAATCCTTCAGGTATTTCACACGTGTCATAAAAAGGTGATCTTTCAAGTGAAGTGACAAAGTGTTGAAACACTAATGCTGTGATGAATATACTGTTACTAGAAAGCACCATTCAGTGTTGAAGAAGAATCATCTTCCCTATAAGCTGCTTATTTTAGACAGAATCAGCTGGTTTAGAAGGGAGATAGTTCTTGGGTGATTTCTGACTCAAGACTGTGTTTGGAGAAAATCTTGCAAATCTTCATGTATGTTTTTGTAGTACTTAATAATTCTGACTTTTCCTGAGTAAAATTGAGTGAAGTCAGATAAAATTTGTCATTCCCATGCTCGTTCTTCTTAGATAAAAAGCACGGTATTAACTCTCTGACTTTTAACCAACAAACCTGCTTGTGTGGTTATACATGAAGCTGATTTCTAAACTGTGAAGGTCATTCTAAAATATATTTTATTTTTACTTTAAAATGTTTTATTTTTGTTGTATTTTCTGTATTGAAAGTAACTTTTTTAGGTCTTGTGTGAAACAGGAGTGAAATATCAGGTAATATTGCTAAACTTCCATCAAAAATCCTGCATCACAGGTACACTGTTCTAAGAATTCAGTTTTCCACAAATGACTCGTTACTGCAGTGTAACAAATTTCTGAGAAGGGAGCCTGCTTAAAATAAGCTTAATGTTTTACGGGATTTATAGGAAGGTGATGAAAATGAATTTGGTTGGGGACACGGGGAAGCTTTTAAGTTTTCTGCAAAGCTGTGTCCAGACTTTTTTGGCATTCAGTGGGATTCGTGTTCTTCTTAATGTAAACAGTTAGTTACTGCTCATCAGCGAAGTCGTCTTTAGAAAACAAATGGTTGTCTTAATCAATCCTTGTAATTTTAAGAAAATGTTGTGGAGGCCTGAGGTGTGGAGTTAGTGGGTTTTCTTTTTGCTTTCATGAGGCAAATGTGATGTGGTGGTTGGGGAGGGTGTTTAGTCTTGCGGTATGCTAGGAGATGCAATGTTTTTGAATTTGTGCTTTGGAGTGCTTTTGCTTTTCCATCTAGTGACGTGATTTTCACCAAATGATTATTATTTGGAAAAATGTCGTTGAGAATAACCAAAGTGTTGTATACGGAAAAATTTTTTTATATAATTCAATACCCTATATATATAATTCGGGGTTAAATTCCTACTTTTTTCCATTCCTTAACATTTTAGGTTGTTTTTTGCTGTACACTTTAGTATTTTCTAATCATCTGACACAAGTGATCATCGGGTAAATCAGGATCCACAAAGAGCTAATCTATAAACACAGCTCCACATCAACAGTGTTGTTTTTGTATTTTTTCATTTATTTATCTCAAAATAGTTTTTCTTTTCTCTTGATTTTTTTGGAACCTGAAAATGTCTGCTACTACTTTTCCTTTTCGTGTGCATCTTGAATGCCATTTCTTCTTTCCTTTTGTCTATATTGGTTATTATTATGGTATTTGAATGCCTTGTTCATTAATGGATTTTGTCTTGAAATCTCCTGTGATGATAGGAGGTATTATTACCCTTTAGAGCTGAGGCATACTGAGGTCTGAGGAGTTGTGTAAGATCAAGTGCAAGATCAAAAATCTGTAGTTCTGCCCTGAGCTGAATCTGATCAGATAGATTCTGGCGAGTCAGCCTTTTTACAATTTTTATAGTATGTTGGACTTGTGAGTGTTTTCTTTTCCAGTTAGTTTTAATTTAGTAAAAAGCATGAGAGTTGTGCACATACCTTCTTTTTCTTGTTTGTTAACAATATTTGTTTTAATTAAATGGACAGTTTCCAGCCTGAACGTACTTTACCGCCCTGTTCCTGTGTTCTTCACTGTTAATCTGCCTCCTTTTCTTCTTATTGCAGGTGTTGTGCAAGCTTTTCCACACAGCTCTGCCACTATATTTCATTCTTGAACTGCAACACCTTCTTACTTTTCCAAACCAGGACCTAGATACTGCCAGTTGTGCAATGGTTTTATGATCTGGATAAACATACACCTGACATTTGGCTGACACCGCCAAATTCATTCTTATTTGTTACCTAGTCGATAAACGAACCTAGCTCTCCAGAGGTGAAAAGCTAGTGCACTAACACACTCACTGCACGAGCTACTCTCTAAAACTCTTTTAATTTTAGTTATGGTAGGACTCATGTAAGTTACTAATGTTACCTCGTGCTGTCCTGGATTAGAGCGTTAACATAAGTAATGACTGGGTAATTCCTGCTTCTACTACGAAGTATGAAATGGTGCATTGTTTTTCCAAAACCCAGTGGGTTGTGTGCATGAAAACTCAGTTCCCTCACATACAAGTACTGGACTCGGTCAGCTGTGAATGGAGGTGTTTAAACTTAAGTACATTTATTGTTTGTGGATATAAGTGGGGATGAAGCTGAGGTGTCTCTGAAAATCTGTCCCCCTGTCTTCGTGTCAACTTTGTTAGTTTTATTGCTGTATGAGGTGATTCCGCTTTTCTAATTAGTAACAGTATGCAACAATGTAACTGAGAACTCTGCTTTTTATTTTAGGACAAAAATCTCTCAAGATATTGAAAGACTGATTCATCAAAATGACATTATAGACAGAGTTGTGTATGACCTTGATAATTTGAGGTAAGTTTTTATCCTTCTGAAAACAATATTCAGCGAACACTCTGTTCTACTTTCTCTGTGGTAGGATTTGTAATATTTAAAGCAGTACTATTATGACAGACTTCAGTGAAAGTTTCATCTGATGTTAATAGTGTTTCTGCTATCCAGGCTGTATTTAGAGGAAGGTTCAAAATAATTTCCGAGTTACCAAGTGAGGGCTAAAATAAACTTCATGAGTTTGTTTTAGTTAAGTTTGTTTTGTTCGTTTTGATCCCTTTTCTACTTGTAGTTGTTCGGTACCAGAGGACGCGGATGTTTTGAAGTTTAATTCCAAATTTGAATCTGGAAACCTGCGCAAAGTTATTCAGATCAGAAAGTAAGATATTCTAACTCTTCTATTCATACATACGGCCTTTTATTTCTGCTTCTTAATAAAAGATTGTTTTTGTTAATCTTTAGAAATGAGTATGATCTAATTCTGAACTCGGATATAAATAGCAATCATTATCATCAGTGGTTTTACTTTGAAGTCAGTGGAATGAAAACTGGCATTGGTTACCGGTTTAACATCATCAACTGTGAAAAGTCAAACAGTCAGTTTAACTACGGTAAGATACACTTCCCATACTTTGAGAAGAAATACATAGAAAGATATCTGTACTAGATGGCTCAGCTGTTTCCTTCCCTCTGCCCCAGGATCAGTAGTATATTCATGTTGTCAGATCAGATTCTTTTTTAATAGTATTACTAGAAAATGCTTTGACGCGTTTCAGTTGAAAAGAAAAAAAGTATCTTAAAACACTGGCTGTCACTTTTTAAACTGAAGTTTTGTTGTAAGAGGCTAAAGCAGAAGAAATTTACTGATGGCTGCAGCTGAAAGTTGTCTTACAAGACCGCTATGGTGGGGACAACACCAAAGGCTGTTGATCCACACAGGTGCAAGAAGAATGACGACTGTCATCATTAATCTCTTTCTGAATAGAGATATATTTTCAGATATGAAAGTAAGTGGAGACATTCTTAAACAATTTTGTCTTATTGATAGGAAGAGAGGCACATTATTTGAGAAGGAAGAGTAATTCTCCTTTGAAATACTGGGCTTCATAGGTGACCCTTGCAGCCTCGAGCAAGTGGTGTTTGCTGCTTGTACCTCATCCAAAAGTACTGGCTGACTGAGTATGCCTTTTTGCGAGTTTGTGGGTTTTTTTTTTCCTGATGGATTTTCTGAAATTCGTCCTTTAAGAAGGAAAAATCTCCACTATAGCCCCCAACCTCAAATTCTTGGGACAGAGTAACATCATATTATTCTTTGTCATAACTGTACAATTCACATTGATAAAATCCAGGAACATCAGGTAGTTTCACTAGTAATAGGATGCTTTGAAATGTTTTACTACTCTTCATCAGTTACCTTATCTCTTCATTCATATGTTACATATACTTACCTGATAGTTACTTTGGGTTTTTTAAGTATACTGATGGAGGCAATATATTTGGCTAATTGTCTAACTAGTGAACAGTGTTCAGTTAATACGTATTATTTTCTACTTTAACTTCGTATTAAGTATTCAACTTAAGTATACTCTTTAAAAAAATCCCAAACTTTAAAGCTTTACTGTTTTTTTTTAAAAAAAAAAAAAAATTGTCCTGAAACATCAATTACTTTCTGCAATCCGCGTGAATGGATGATGGTATAAATTTTTTGTATTATCTTTGAAGCCTTTTTGTTATGGTGAGTTGGATGGAGTGGGACCCAAGACTTCTTATACATTACCATTCATGCTAGCGACAGCTTTCATGTAAACATTTAATTTTGGTCTTCCATAGGTCTAATAGTTTTTTATCTTTAGTTTGTTATTTTCTGAAAATGAGGACA